GCCCACGCGGCCACCCCGTGGCACGGGCTGCGGGGCCGAGGGCGAGGCGGGCGGGGGTCCCTCTGCCAACGCCAGTGAAGGGCGAATGCCCCTGCCCTGGGCTTCATGTCACCCAGCTTCCCCAGCTCGCTGTGGTGTTGGTGAGCTGCACGCTCCGCACTGCCGTGGAAGGGAGGAGAAGCCAGCACGAGGGCCCAGCATGACCCCTTATACTTGCCTGCAGCCCCAGGCCGTGAAGTCTTCATCCTGGATTTGTCTGCAGGGCTCGGGGGTCCCCCAGGACAGCTCGGTTAGGAGCAACTGCAAGAAAGTGTGATGAGAGATGAGCCCCAGGCAGGTGGTGAGGCCAGCCCTAGCTCGGGGGAGCCCTACTTGCACCCTTGGGCCAAGGAGGATCCCTTTGGAAGGCTTTGGGGAAGGCTCCCCGCCGCTTTGAGGACACATGGAATAGGGATGAGGACAGACGAGGGCTGCCTGGGAGAAGGCAGCGAGCAGGGCACAGTCCCCATGCCACCTCCCCATGCCCCTGGCCCTGCATGCTGCTCAGCACCGGGGCCATGCCGGCGCACCAGGGCCCAGGGGAACTGTGGGGCTGGACAGGCTGAGCAGGGATTTCTCCTTGCAGGACTTTCCCATGGAAGAGGACTTGCTTTTCCCAGGGCTGTTTGGCCGGGCTCCAAGGGGAGAGAGATATCCCAACCGCCTTTGTGGGGAGCCACACAGCCCTGCAGAAACACAGCGGGCAGCCCTCGTGCTCCCGTTCTTCCACCGGTCTGCAGGGCGAACAAAGGCAGGGAAGGTGCCCGCTGCTGGGGACAGGGTTGGGGGGGGGAGACGGGCACCCTCCAGCTCCCAAGCCTTCCCCCAGGCTCTCCCCAGCAGCCTCAGCCACGCAGAGCACAGGGCAGATGCCGGCTGTCGCTCCCTGATGGCAGGGACATGTGTGGCGGGGGATACCATCGCTTCCAAGGCTAGGTGAAGGCCAGAGGAAGAGTGAGCTACACAATCCTGGAGCTGAGCCTGAGTGGGGACAGGGGACTTCCCTGGAGCGGATGCACCAGAATGAGCTATTGTTCCAGCCTGGCCTGCGAGTGAGGGGCTGCAGGCACCTGCCGCCACGCTAAGGCATTCTGCCCAGCCCTTGGCAAAGGCATCTTGAGGGGACCCGAGGTAAAGCTGCCCCCAGCACCCAGGAGGACTGTGCTGGCTGGCTTCTCCCCGGTGCTGGGGCTGCTGCACGGCTGCAGGTCCGCAGGTGAGGGCACCCTGGGGATGGTCCCAGCCGCTCTGCCAGCCCTGAGTGTGCTGGGAGCGCTGGTGTGATGCCAGAAGGACCTGCACCCCAGAAACGTCCTTCTTGCCTCAGGGCAGCAGCGGCAGGGCAGGACATGCCCATGCAGCGAGGGCCTAGGGAGGCAGCGGGAGATGCTGAGACTGGGGAAGCTGCATGTGCCCCCGCGAAGGCAGGCCTGGAGGGAGCCGCGGTGGTCCTCAGCACTGTCTCCCAACTCTGCAGCTGCAGGCTGTGCTGCCAGCCCTTTGCCTGCCTCATTTTTCCCATTCCTTTGCCACCCACAGCCTGTTCCCAGCCAGTCTGCTGGGACCTGCCCGGGGTGTGATGCGAGGCAGCCCCAGCACTGCTAGCCTGGCCCCAGACCCTGCACAGCCTCGGACTCCAGAGCACAAGGTCCTGGTCCACCCCCAAGCACACTGGGCTCCAGAGAGCTCCTGAAGCACCGTGACACCCAGCCCCCAGTTGCTCCCTCCCTCCCTCTGCTTCCAGCTCAAAGTCGCAAGGACACAGCGGCGATGAGAGCTGAGGCAGCCCCATAACTGGCTGCTTCTGGCTGCTCTGTTTCCCCGAAAAGCGGGGCAGCTGCCCAGCTGCGGTGAGCTCAGCACCAGGAAGGCACCTCAGAGGCATGATGCAGCATCAGCCCCGCAGCTGGGCTGGGTGCCAGCGCAGCCGGTGCCCTGCACAGGCCCTGGCCAGCAGCGGGTTTCCAGGCAGGGCTGGAGACATCCTGGGCTCCTGCACCCTCAGGGTGAGCTGTGGTGGCCCCAGTTAGCACCAGCACAGCCCGGTTTACAGCAGAGCTCTGTCTACCCTGTGCCAAAGGAGCACCAAGAGGCTGATGAGGGGAGGGGGCTCACAAGCGGGGCCCATCCTGCCCTGCTGCTGGCAGCTGCTACGGGCACAGCTGGGAGGGCAGTGGCATCGTGCCCAGACCTCCAGCAAGTGCAGGGACAGCTGGGGGGACCCTCCCTGCAAGGAGGGGTTCTGGCTGTGACCCAGGTGCCGTGCACCCTGACAGGGACCTCCTTTTCCCCCTGCAGGGCCCCGAGAAGGCATTTTCTGTCCCTACACACCAGCCTTACCAGCCTTCACTGGGAGCCCCGCTCTACTCTGCTCCAGCCAGATCAGTGTTCCAACCTGAACCGATCCCCTGGGTGCTCCCGGCCCCCTGCACCCCTCCTTGCCCCGTGCCGGGGTGCCTGAGCCCTACACCTCTCTCCAGCAGGTCTGGATGCTGCGGAGCCAAATACCCTATAGCAGGGGAGGGCAGGCAGGGGGTCCCCTTTGCCCCCTGGAGCAATGATGGAGAAGCCCTGCTAACGAAGCCGTGACCTCAAAACCCTGCAGCACCTGCACCCCTGAAGCTCTGCAGTGGGGAGCCCACTGGGGCACAGTGCCCCGGGCACAGCAGGGGCATGGGCAGGCGCTGGGAGAAGCAGGTGAGTGGCTGAAGGCTGGGAATGAGTGGAGCACACCCAGCCCTTGGCTCGGCTCTTTTTTTTTTTTTTTTTTTTTTTTTTTTTTTTTTTTTTTTTTTTTTTTTTTT